CCTTATTTGATATTGTTTGTTATCTCTGAAGCATAAAGGTATTATTATGCATAATTCATTTATTATGTTTGTTTGTTGCATTTGAATTTTGTTTTGTTTTGATATATATGATTTAGTGAGACATTCATGCTACTCTGGTCACACTCGAGCTCTTACTATCTGCAGACGTATGTGGGGAACAGCTGGCTATGTGAGTGCAATATTCTATAGTCTGGTCTTGTGCGTGGCTAAAGATAAAGTGTCTGAATAAGTTTGAATAAGTACAGTGATAGTGATGCTAGTGTGGTGATGCACTATTCTGGGACCTAGAACTGGCTGGAGAAAGCATTCTCATTGGCCACTGAGTCAGATGTTGTGTGTGTGCACTGCCAGGGACTGAGGAATATGGTTGGTGGGTTAGGTTGAGGGTTCCTGGTTATTGGTCACTGGTTAGGTGCTATAGAAACTCCCTGATGGTCTCAGGTGGACAAGGATAAGGCTATGCTGGGATGCTTGGAGCAGGCACAAGTCTCCAATTGCAGGAGGGATGGTGCAAGGATGAGGCTGGGGTTAGGACACCAAACCATGGGTGTCTGCTAGGAAGGCCTGCTCCTGTGCGCTAGAACATGATGAGAAAGGGGTGCTGAAGTCCTTGGGTCTGAATGGAGTAGGAGGTATCGCTGGCCAGCAGACCCCTGGCATTGGTGGATGGGTGTAGGATTCATTGGTTTGTGGGTTCCTGGAACCAGTGTCAGGGTTGAATGGTGAGTGTTGCCATTTTATGGACTTTTGGGCATTGGAACAGATACTAGCGTTTCATGCACCCATGGGATTGGTGACAAGATGGAGAGAAAGGCAACACCACTCCATGACTGAGTGAAGGTGGTACTTTGTATGTGGACCCAAACTTATGGAATGGGGCAGTGTTGAGTGCTACTGTTTTTCCTTGTAAATACACAGACGCTGGGGATTCTGTGCCCAAATAACTCATTTATGTTTTAAAAGATATTTCCTTGTTCTCCAGGAAAAAATAAAGACTAGGGCACACAGTACACACATGGAAAAAAACCCAAAACTACAACAAAACAAGCCCCCAAACAACTAAATAAATAGATACAAAATAAACAAAAAACAAAAATCCTTTTCCTAACCATAAATACGCAAAGCCATTCAACTGTGTGGATTATGGCAAACTATAGACAGCCTTGAGAATAGTGGAAATTCCAGCGTACTTGATTGTGCATATGAGGAACATGTATATGAATCAAGAGGCAGTTGTGTGAATGGAACACGGGGATACTACCTGGTTTCAAATCAGGAAAGATGTGCATTAAGGTTGTGTCCTCTCACCACACTTATTCAATCTGTAGGCTGGCCAAATCATCTGAGAAGTTGGATTACATTAAGAAAAATATGGCATCAGGATTGGAGGAAGGCTTATTAACAACCTGCAATATGTCGATGATGTCACAACCTGGCTTTTTAAAAGTTAAGCGGAAGTGAAACATTTGTTGATGAAGACTAAGGATTGGGGTCTTCAGGATGGATTACAACTCCATGTAGAGAAGACAAAAATCCTTACATCATGATAATATCATGATAAATGGAGACAAGATTGAAGTTGTCTTGCTGGGATCCAAAATCAATGCTCATGGAAACAGCAAGAGATCAAATGACTCATTGGATTGGGCAAATCTGCTGCATCAGACCTCTTTAATGTTTTGAAAAGCAACGATGTTACTTTGAGGACCAAGGTGTGTTTGACCCAGGCCAGGGTATTTTTATTCATCTTTTATGCATATGAAGTTTGGACATTGAATAACTAAGACTAAAGAAAATCATTTTATTTGAATTATGGTCCTGATGAAGTATATTGAGAGTACTCAGGACTGCCTAATGAACAAACAACACATCTATCTTGGAAGAAGCACAGCCAGAATTCTCCTCAGGTCTAAGGATGGGGAGACTTCATCTCACATATTTTGGACATGTTGTCAGGAGAAACCAGTTCCTGGAGAAGGACATCATGCTTGGTAAGGTGGAGGGGCAGTGAAAAAGAAGAAGGTCTTGGACAAAGTGGATTGATCTAGTGACTGCAACATTGGTTCCTCAAAGATAGGAACCAACGTGAGGATGGTGCTGGACTGGGCAGTGTTTCCTTCTGTGGGACATGGGTCATTATGGGTTGGAACTGACTCAATGCTACTTAACGACCACAGTCCTTAAAATCGTAGAAAATAAAGAGAATGAGGCATAATGACGTTTAAGACCTTGCACAAAGTAAACTGGTCAATAAAATGTTAAACTGAGATTTCCAAGCAGGCAGTGTGTGGCTCTAGAATCCAGGAAGCATGCCATTTCATCCCCAGTGGGGCTGGCTGCTTAAAGTCGCACCCTACAGTGATAGGAAAGAGGCGTCTCTTTTTAAAAGGCGAGTCCCAAAGGAAAAGAACATAGTTTTCTCAGAAATGTTCTCATTTTCAGAAAAGAAATCACTGGGGAATAAGACATGGCCCAAATGCCACTGATAGCAGTTTAATTTTGTCCCTTCAGGTGTAGGCTCTTGAGCTTTCAGTTCTTCAGGGATCTGGTTCCAAATAACTACAATAGTCAAGAAAATGTCCCTTATTTCTCTTCAGTCTGTGAACTGATGTGCAGGTCACGGTGGCTCTTTCTTCTCCCAGAGCCAGATGAGGATTTGCATTTGTCATCAAGTCCTTAGAAAGTCATGTCTTTGGGGAGAAGTTATCGCTGTGAGGATGCTTAATTTTCCGTCCTCACTTCTAGAAAATGATCATTCTCTTTGAAGCAGTTAAAGGCTTACATATTATCTTTAAAAGGGTGAGTATACAGAAGTTTGTGCAACATGCTGTTTTTGAAGTATGATAGAGATATATCAGATTGAGTCAGAACTATGGAAACATAACCCCCACATACATTGTTTCTCAAAAGAGCCGACTTTGGCATTATTGGTCTTATCTTTGTTGTACTAAGCAACTGCTTTATGTGACTTTCTCCGAACTGAATTTCCTGCAATTTAAAAAAAGATTATTATAGAAGGGTGCTGCACCCTACATGAGGAATTCTAAGGTCACAGACTGATGGGTCTGGAAGTGGTAATAAGATCATTCTCTTCCTGTCTATAAGCATGAAATGACGTCTTTATTTATATCAATACAGAGTGGCTGCTGTTGGGTGTTTTCCAGTTAGTTCCAAGTCCCAGTGGTCCCATGGCCCTGTGCCGTCGTCGTCACAACCACTGCTGTGTCGGGGTCCACGAGTTCAGTCATTGTCCCAGTCTAGTCCGTTGAGGGCGTCCCTTTTTTTCACTTACTCCCTGATGTAAAAGCGTATTGCCCTCTGGTAAGATGTCCAAAGGATGTGAGTTAAAATCTTGCCATCTTCACTTTTAAGGAGCTTCCTGGCCATATTTCTTACAAGATAGATTTGTCTGTTCCTCTTATGGTCTGTGGTATATTCAATAGTCTTTGTCAGCACCATAATTTACATTAATGTGGCTAGACTAAAACAAGAAACAGTTTGTGCTACCCTTCTTTCCACATACCAACTTTTATATTTGGATGGGTATAAACAAAGATATTTCTTCAATGGATCATGCTCATAAAAGTATTCTAGGATTGTCTATTTGACTACTGGAAATACACTCCATATATTTTTAGGAATATAATAGTGACAAAATAATAACACCACTTCAAAGAAATGCAGTTACCATTTATTAACTAATTGAAAATATTTAATGCTCTCTTTATTACTTATTACATCATTCAAGAATTAAATATGAATTGGATTTTATTTACAAAGTATAGGAATTGTGCAAAGCTAATATTTTCAAAATATAAATTATCATGCACTGCTATGGTTTATCAATTTTAAAGAGTTTGATTTTATATTCTGATTATATGACTAGTGAGTCAGATAAATCATTTTCTAAGATGCTTTGCCTGTATAAAATAACATTCACTTGATATTTTCCATCTATTATTATTAAAATTGCTATTGTCTGATAGATTTCAGAGTAAGAACTTTAAAAGAATAAAATATATAAAATAGAGAAATCAGAATAAATTATTTATTACTCTACAGAATTAATTATCCTTCATAAATTCATTGAAATTTTAGATAGGAAATTAAGAATTTAAGTAGAGTTGCAGTAATTCAAAGTCACAGCTGATCATTAATTTTCAATGCAATTTGGAAGGCAAATTACTGTCTTGTATTTACTTTCAGGGACTTTCAGTTCCTGCATACTATAATATTCTTTTGTTGGAATTATGTGGCTACAAGATACCTCTATCCTTCCCTATTGTGTGCCCAGCTTGTCTTCTTATTTTGGGGTTTTGGTGCATTTGACTTCACATTTTTAGAGAAGATCATTATAAGCACCAACAACTGATATTTTATTCTTCTAATCTTAGACTGAAGAACCTCCTTGTCAATTGTATGCATTGTCCTTATTTACGTCTCTCTATGGGGAGGGATAGACTGATAAATACATGTGTGAGTCATGTCTGAATAATATTAGAATGCTACTCTTCATTCCATAGGATAGAACCTGCTATGCGTAGTCTTTCCCAGATAGTCCCTGCTAGGATCAGAACATCTTATCGTGTGATTAATACTGTTACATGTATTTCTAAGAGGGTTTTATATCTCATCATACAATAAGGTGAAACATGTAGAATGACACCCATTTCAAAGACATTTTTAGAACTTGGGGGAGATTTAGATCATATAGTTAGACTTTTATTTATATTAGGAGTGGTGTATGGGATTTAAAAAATCAAGTTCAAATTGTCAATTCTGCAAAGGATGCTAGCACAACTACCCAGAACTAATATCCAGGAATATTGTTTTCCAGTTCAACAGTATTTTAATGATTAGCTTTCTTAGATCTGTTTTAAACAACCTATCATTGGCTTAAGAATATTTGTAACTGTTCATGACTGTTATTTTATAACCAAACGATCTTTTCATTTGTTATAACAGATTACAACCAACTGATGGAAGATAAGAATCAGACAACAGTGACTGAATTCCGTTTCCTGGGCCTCACAGGTCAACTCCGTCAGGAGATCATTCTCTTCATCATGTCTCTCTCTGTGTACCTGGTCACACTGTGGGCTAACCTGGGAATGATCACCCTAATATGGACTGACTCCAGACTTCACACTCCTATGTACTTTTTTCTTAGCCACTTGTCCTTTGTAGATATTTGCTCATCTTCTTCTATTGCCCCCAAAATGCTGTGTGATATCTTTGTGGAGAAAAAAGGCATCTCTTTTCTAGGTTGCGCTGCACAGATGTGGTTCTTTGGACTCTTTGTGGCAATGGAATGTTTTCTCCTGGCTTCCATGGCATACGATAGGTATGTGGCCATCTGCAAGCCTTTGCTATACACACTCATTATGTCCCAGCCGGTCTGTGTGCAGCTGGTGGTAGGGCCTTATGCCATGGCTCTTATTAGCACCATGACCCATACCACATTGACGTTTTGCTTACCTTTCTGTGGTCCAAATGTCATCAATCACTTCTTCTGTGACATTTTCCCACTGCTTTCTCTGGCATGTGTAGATACCTGGAACAATAAGTTGGTGTTTTGCATCTTGGCTGGAGCTGTCGGAGTACTTAGTGGCCTGATCATTACAGCCTCCTATGTTTGTATCCTGTTGACCATCTTGCAGATGAAGTCTGCCGATGGGAGGCAGAAAGCCTTCTCCACTTGCTCTTCCCACTTGGCAGTCGTGTCTATCCTATATGGGACGCTTTTCTTTATTTATGTTCGGCCTAACTCAAGTTCCTCCCTGGGTCTCAATAAAGTGGTATCCCTGTTTTACACTGTGGTGATCCCCATGTTGAACCCCCTTGTCTACAGTCTGAGAAATAAGGAGGTGAAAGATGCATTCAGGAGGAAGTTTGAAAGAAAAACCTTGTCTGAAAGGTAGACAAAAGAGACATTTTTGTGAGTTATTTCACAAATGTGCCACAAATGTGAAGAATGATTGATCTGGAGAGAGCTGTTGGGGACAGTCATTGTTTGGTTGACAAGTCAAGCTGAATATCAATTTCCATCACTGCTCACATTTGAAAAATGGAGAACCCTACACGATGTGTAAGAGAACTAGAAAAGAATATACACCAATCTGCTAACATCGATGACTTTAATGGAAGTGTTTGGAGGTGGACGTGGAGGGGTTTTATTCACACACATTTGAGTTGGAGTTAGATGTTGGCCTGTTAACTGCAAGTTGGTGGTTTAAACCCACCAGCTACATTTGGGGTGAAAGATGAGGCTGCCTGCTCCTGTGAAGATTTATAGTCTCGAGGACCCTAAGGCTTCATTCTACTTTGTCCTGTAGGGTGGCTAAGATTCAGAATCAATGGGATTGCAGTGGCTTTTGTGTTCTGTTGATATGTGGAGCTTGGGCTCAATCCAGATAGGCTGTTTCCATCCTATTAGATATTGCTACTGAGTTTGCCCTAATTTATTTTAGGATTTAAGAGAACTAGGTTCATTAGGAGTGAATCTGGATGCAAGGCCATGTGGTGCCTCATGTCCAAGAGTTCCTTCTTTGCCAGTGCCCAGAAACAGACAAGACTGCTTCTCAAAATACCTTAAACCAGCAATTCTCAATCTTTCACAGGGGTTGCCCAATTCATAACAGTAGCAAAATTGCAGTTATGAAGTTGAAATGAAAATAATTTTATGGTTGGGGGGTCACCACAACATGAGGAACTGTATTAAAGGGTCACGGCATTAAGAAGGTTGAGAACCACTGCCATAAACTCTCTGATACAAATGGTACAGTGCCGACCCTGCACTATTATTTTTCCATTGAGGCTTGAAATAAGCACCATACTGCTTATATTCCCATTACTACTACCTTCCATATCACAAAGTCTGTTGGATCATGTTCCCCAGGTAGCAGGTCTGCTTGCTTCATAACTAGAACTTATTATAGAGCCCGTTCTAGCACTGCATCAACTTCAGGCGTTATTTGGTATATTTGCTGGAGTAATATTATTAGCTGTGAAATCTGTTTCCTCTAAAACTCAGAGAGGCCTGGATGACCTGAATCTGTTGTATTTTGTTACTTTTATCATGTCAATGACATTTAACAGCCAACTTCATAGTCCATTAGTTACCATTGCTGCCCGTATCTCCCACATGCTAGGTAGGGATAAGTGGATAAGCGGAAGCACACCTTTCACCTATTCCCTATCCCATTCACTATAGATGAGTCTCATAACTGTGAGACTCAGAAAGCCAGTTGTATTGATCACCCCACTCCTACCCTCAACAGACTTTTGTTGCCCTTGCTGGTTAGTGACCTGATTCCAGAATCCCATCCCAAGGAGAAGATTCCTAAAGACATTCCTAATGCCAGCTGCATTTATTTGACTTTCCCCCAGAATCAAACTTTGAGATAAGGATTCAAGTGCAGGTATTTTAGTTGAGTAGTGTATTTGTGTTGAGTACACAAATCTGAGTAGGGGAATTGGGAAGTGAGGATAGAAAGGCATTCACCCACTCTGGTGTGAGTTTCCTAGTTTTCTTTTGGTAGTGGTGTTATAAGGACACATAGTCCTGAAAATCTGAAAACTATAATTGACTTTGTCTCTCTGGGAGTTACCTTCAGGGTGATGTGGAGTAAGCTATTTCTTGGATGATTATTTTACTGCAATGCCATGGGCAATGCTGTCAGCCACCGGGTCCTAATTCCCCTAGAAATAGCTGGGCTACAGGGTAAAAACCAAAAACCTGCATCTGAGTAATCCCATTAGAGGGGTAAAGGGGCTTGGGGATGCTTATCTAAATTGGTCTTTGGTTGAAAGCTACTGCTGCAAAGTGCTAATTTCTGGAAATTTCAGATGGCTAGGAAGGTTGAAATTTATACTGAGACCACTCCTCTGGCCAAGAAATAGAGTGCTGGCTATTGAAAATGAACAATGGCGAGGCAAAAATAGCAGTACATCAACACACTTCGCCGAAGGCCTGACGCTAAACCTTTTTTTTCTTTCTTTCTTCCAGTGGCTGTTTCGTTGATTCTGATTCATGGTGACCGCATGTGTGTCAGAGTAGAACTGTACTCCAGAGTTTTTCGGGGCTGTGTCTTAGAAATAGGTCACCAGCTCTTTGGGAAGGACTGGAATCTCCAAGCTTTAGCTCAGTAGTCGAACTTATCAACTCTTTGCATCAGCAGGAACTCCTAAGCCTGTTTACTCACTGTTCGTAACTGAGGGGCAATTACATCACATGCCATGTGTACCAGTAAATAAGGGATGGTGAGTGTACCTTTGTCAGGAGAATGTACACATCTGATTCACATAAACAGTGAGGTTATCGAGATCAAATAAACCAAAAAGCAAAGTGATAAAGACAAACGCCCCACATAACGCTGTGGCATCTATTCTAAGTCAGAGTGAATCGCCAGGGCAGAGGAGAACTGGCCCACAGGGAGTCAGCTCGATGGTAATGGTTCATCCTTACAGAGATTGCCATATCTTTTCCCCAGGGGGCAACTATAGTGGCTTTGAAGCCCTAACCTTTCGGTCAGTACTGCTCTGCCAAACCCCAAACCAAACGCACTGCCATTGGGCCGGTTGAGATTCACATTGACCCTACATCAGGTTTCCAGGGTCATAAATCCTTCCAGGAGCAGTCTTCTCTCTCTCCTGCAGCTGGTGGGTTTGATCTGCCGACATTGCAATTCGCAGCCCAGTAGGTAGCCTACTACACCACCAGGGCTCCTAGCAAATGTGCTTCCTCGGTACTAAAGTGAGGATGGTGTGAGGTGGGGCAGTAAACACCAGGACACCACAAGCAGGATCCACCCTACATTAGTTATATTGTGATTCACATCCTTGGTTAAAAGGAAAAAGTGGGCCGGGAGAGTTTTACATTTACATCTGGAAAGCTCATAGTCGTAAAGAAAAGTTAAAAAATTGGAAGATAAGGTATTTGTCAAAAAAAGATGATTTGGATCTAATTCTGGAGCATTTTTGTGAATGAATATGCTATCTTTATTCTACTTTTTAAAGGAAAATCAATTGTTATATTGTAAATATTCATTTGAGTATTTATAAATATTCCTTGCAGCATATTACATTAAATACTTTTGTATTTTAAAATGTATTTTTAAAAGATTGCATTATAATTGCACCTGGTGCCAAATTTAAATAGTAAATTAAGAAAAATGCACCATGCTACAATTTCCACACATGTGGAATGTGTTGTGTGTTTTTGAGAACCTATTCCTGCATATAAAAATGTGTGTGTGTGTGTGTGTGTGTGTGTGTATCTATTTAGGCTTTTGAAAATAATACAAATGCGAGCTTGCTGCACAATACCATTACATCTCTTTCATTGTTTAAATATTTTTACTGTTTTATATCAACACATTTCACTAGCTTTTGCTTTAAATGATTTGTTTACTCTTTCTTTCATTGATAAGCATTTATTTTTAATTCATTTCTATTAATAAAACAAATCATTTGACAATAATGTAAGAAATATATTTTGTCTTTTTTTCTCATTTAATTTTTAAATTCATTTTTTACATGTAATGCTTTTTTCCTAAAACATGGCAATACTTCTAATCTTACATATTATAAGAATAAAAATAATACAGAGAACATTTGCATATTCTTTCTCCCAGGGCACCCATTATTATTATCCCATATATTTTATCCTTTGTTTATTTTATCTCTGTCTATCTGTCTCCACTTACTCACCTACATACATGTTATCACATGTAAAAAATTTTGTCCTGATCCATTTGACTAATTTACATTAACCATTAACCATGGCCATTTATAATTCTTTGGGTATTTCCAGTGAACAGCAATATTTTCTTACACAGCTATGAGACAGCAAACTCAATTCATCTTTTAATATCTACCGATAGTATATTATATATTAGAGTGTACATAAAGGGGTAGATTCTCTTTGATAACTTGGATATTTTGTGACTTTCTTTTATTTCTTCTTTGAGGTTATCTCTATATTTAGTTCCAGAAAAACTCCATTTGGAGGATTATTGCTTGGAAGGTCCCTATCAGTTGATTCTCAGTTTAAAAAGTTAACAGAATATACTTTTGTTTCTGTTCTGGAACTTAATCATTGTCGATTTTATTGTTATTCTTGTAAGACCAAATATTTAATTCTCCTTCTTCTAAAAATTTACCTATATAATATTTGTTAGCTTCACAGAGTCTCCAATGAGATGAGAAATTTACACTACATGACAAACTCTCACTTCTTGGTTAGTTATGTTATTGGTGCAATGTCATCATTGCTAACAGTATTTATTTTTTCATTCTATACTTCCTATATTGTCTGTCTTAATTATCTTTACAAATATCTCCATTGAAATGAAGCCTGACTGATGGAATGGAGGCTTTTGAGGTCATTTTGGGTGTTTTCCCTTTAGATTATTCCTCATTCGGAAAACAAATGATTTTGAACTCCAGAGTAATTATCAGGAAAAGTTATAATTTACTCCTTTTGGGTGTTTATGAATATTGCCACACAATACAAATAAAATACATATGTAGCTTTCTACAGACACAGATTTCCATCATATTCTAATTGGTTACCTTTACTCTTTGGAGATATTGCTTCTGTGCTATGGTGGTATTGTTATTGTGAGCTATCTACCTGCTTCGGACTCCTGGAGACCCCATAGGACCAGTCAAAGAGCCCCCGAGGATTTCCGAGGATGTAATCTTTGTGAGATTACAGAACGTCCGGTGTTTTCTTGTGTACAGCACTTGCGGGTTCAAACCAACCATCTTTAGGTTTCAAACTAATAGACTAGGAAGAAGGTAGAAGCGACATCTGAGGATTTAGTCACGGAAACCCTGATACATGGCAACAGAACATTGTCTGACATCATGCTGGAAGATAAATCCCTAAGGTTGGAAGGCACTCAAAAATAGGACT